CAGGACACAGACAGCCCCGCGCCGGGGCTCGGCGTGCTGGAAAGGTGACAAATGGCCGGTGGGAGGGACGCCGGGGAAAGGGAGGGCTGCTCGAGCCTCAGCGTTGCCTGTGTTTATTTCCCAAGGTGTTGTATCGCAGCCAAGAGATACAGGAGCCGCGTGCCGCTGCATTCCTCCCGCAACAGGCGCCGGGGATGCTGCCAGCAAAAACACCATGCCCCAGCACGCTGGGGATTTGGCTTCATCCCAACTACCGAGGCACCCCAAAAAGTGGAGATGAGCTATGCTCATCCCCCCAGCACCCACCGTGTGGTTGGGGGTCACTGTCACGGGCTGCCCGTCTGCCCCATAGTGCGTCTCGGTGTAGCCTGGTGCCAGCAGCCTGCGGAGAGAGGAGAGGGGACAGCGGTGAGGACCCCCTTCCCCGGGCATCCCAGCGCAGGGATACACTGAGCCTTTGTCCCCAGACCCGGGCAGCCACACAGGGCTGAGCCAACTGCATGGTCCCCTTGTCACAGCCCCCGCCTTGCAGAGGTTCAGGCAGGGGAGGCCGTCACCGCTGCATCAGGGCTGGTCCCCAGTGCATGGCCAGCAGGGACGTGAATCCCAGTCCAACATCCCCCTCTGTGTCTCAGCCCATCCTGCTTTGAGGTCCTCCTGATCTGGGACAGGTGACCCAGGTGGGGGGACACCAACTGGAGGCTTCGGGGCCACCATGTCACCACGGAGGACAAGCAGTCAGGCATGGTGACAGCTTCTCCGTAAGGACCAAACCCCCCACAGGACAACCAAAGTCCCCAGGGGGAAGCATCCTACTGGGAGAAGAAGGGAACAACCTCACAGTTGGGGTTCAGCTGAGAAGTTTGGGGTCTCCGACACAGCCACTCCCTCTGTCCTCAGGCATGTCACTTTGCCTCACCCAAGCCACCAAGGTGGCGATGCTCAAGAGTTAGAGCAGAGCTCACAACCGGTGAGCATGAGGGGCTGGGGAGCTGATGGGGGGGAATTTAGACTGAAATGACCCCACGGGTGGTGGGAGAGAAAAGAAAAGGGTGAGGGTTTCCTACGCTGTTGAACCTGCCCAGACACCACAGTGATGGGCGCCCCACCGCAAGCTCGCAGCCACTGTGGGGACAGCAAGTTGCCCTGCACACAGGGGTCTCAGTCACCCGAAGAAGGACAAAGCAGGGCTGGGTTTGCCACTGCTGCTGGTTTGGCCCTTGATGTGTGGGGTTTGGCTGCGTCCCAGGGGTTTTATTCTGCAGCAGAAAATAAACCCAGCAGCCAGCCCCAGAATAGCGCTGCCGCCTCTTGGTTTCTATTTTGCAACTGGTTTGGCCCCAAAAATGTCGCTGTGGGCACGTTCCTGGCTTCCCAGCCCGCCTGTGAGGGGGTGCCTGCCCCCAGCCACTCCAGTTACAGCGGAGAAAGGAGACAGGAGCCCAGTGTGGGTCCTGGAAAGGGACCCATGGGTATCCTGGCGAGACAAGCACCCAGCTGCCCACGCGGGGTGGGGACAGGGATGGGTTGTCCGACAACAGCAGAGAGGCAAAAGCCTCCATGCCATGCCTGGGGAATGGGGAGAACTGGGAGGGTTGAGCCAATTCCCCAGCTGGGGGCACAGCAAGCCCCAGCATGGCTCAGACCACGGGGATGTCCTCTCCAGGGCTGGCCAAGGACCAGGAGTCCCAGGGAAGGAAGAGCAAGGACATGTTCCTTCTCCCTGTGGACCACCCCTGGCGCCATACAGACTATCTTTGGTGCCATGGATGGTCTTGGGTGCCACGGATGGTCCTCATGGCCATAGATGCTCTTGGGTGCCATGGACTGCCTTGGGTGTCATGGGCGGTCCTGGGTGTCATGTCTTGGGTGTCATGGGTGGTCCTGGGTGCCATGGATGGTCCTGGGTGCAATGGACTCTTGTGGGTGCCACAGATGCTCTTGGATGTCACATACTATCCCGGGTGCCATGGATGATCATGAGTGCCATGGGCTACCACGAGTGCCATGAACTGTCTTGGGTGCCATGGATGGTCCTGTGTGTTATGGATGCTCTTTGATGCCATAGAAAGTCCTGGGTGACACAGATGGTTCTGGGTGCCACAGACAGTCCTGAATGCCACAGACAATCCTGGGCACCATGAATGCTTTTGGGTTCCATGGATGATCCTGAGTACCATGGATTGTCCTGGGTGCTCAGCTCCCTTTTGCTACCAACAACCTCCTCATCCATTTCACTGCGCCCTCATCCAGAGCTCAGCATCCCACAATGCCTCACGGTCCTCCGGTCCTACCAGAGCCACCACAGCCACCAGGGATGATGCTCTTC